GGTCCTCTTAATTCAGTGATGGGAGTCACTGCAAGTCAGAAGCCCAGGGCAATTATCTTGGTCATTAAGCCTTGCAGTGTTAGCATTCACTTCATCCCAGGCTCCTTTACAGGAGTCTTTTTGAAATTGTGTCCACTTTATCAACGTTGTAAGGAAACTATCATTAGTCTGTGAACTCAAACATACACAAACTGAGACACAGCCAATGAACGAAAGCAAATGAATGAATGAAGTTTCCCAGGTAACACTGTGGAAAGTCTTGTTCTCCTGGGCTTATCTCTACTCCCCCAAGTGACATGATCATCTGACACACAGGCTAAATGAACCCCTGGGCTAAATATCAGTAGAGCTTAAATTTTTTAATATATTATGTTCACAGAAGTTCAAATATTTTCCTTGCTTCCCAGTGGAACATCTCGCATACTTCACTTTGACAGCTGTGGCACTATATTGTGATCAGAGTGATGGTTTTGAAACTCAAAATGATCATGTTCCTCCCTAACTCATGTCCCCCTCCCCCTCTCCCATATACATGAACACTCCAGAGATTACCTATTGCTCTTAAAATAAGACCAAAATCCTAACATAGCCTTTGATCAAAACTTTTCTTAATTTTCCCACTGTCTCCTCCAGCTGCATCTTCCCCAAACTAACCCTTGCTCTTTGATACAAAGAAATGAAAAGTTGAACTTCCTTATTATACAGTTTCATTCTAGTACTTACCACAGTTGTAATTTTACTTGCATATTTTGTTATTAGTATTTATCTCCCATATCATAATATATATGTGTTTTCATTCTTGTTTTTGTTTTGATCACTACCTAGTATCTAGCATAGTCCCTGGCTCATTTCTTTTTAATGAACAAATGGTCAAAAGAGAAAGAAGATAAAGCGTTCTCTCAAAAGATTGATATTTACATAATGTATTTGCCTATAAACCCAGATAAAAGAAGGATATGTGAAAAAATTCAAGCATCAATCAATAAAGGGGAAATATAAGTAAGTAATATTTATGAGCTTATAGGAAGAAAACAGAAGCTCCTTAAAATTGGAAAAGAATAAAAATGGGTTTTAGATTTGGGGGGAGGCATAGACTTACTGCTTTGAGCTGATGGCATAAAATTATAGATGACAGTAACAAATTTGACTTTTACTTTTTTATCAGTATTGCCATTTGGTTATGTAGACTATGGAAAGTGGCCTGATGTTCTTACTAAGCCTATATATATTTTTTTGTCCAAGTGAATTATATACTTAGAATATAAGAAGCTTGCAGATGAAATTAATAAACGGTATTATGTGGATGTGTACACATACGTGCAAGCTAAGTTGCTTCAGTCATGTCTGACTCTTTGTGACCCTATAGGATCTTAGCCCTCCAGGATCCTCTGTCCATGGGTTCTCCAGGCACGAAAACTGGATTGGGTTGCCATGCCCTCCTCCAGGGGATCTTCCTGACCCAGAGACTGAAGCCGTGTCTTTTAAGTCTCTTGTACTGGCAGGTGAGCTTTTTACCATTAGTGCAACCTGGGAAGCCCCAAAAGCAAGCCCTATTGGCTTTCAAAACCAAATGCCCAGAGGGTGGAATCGGGTGAGCCAGGTGACAATTCACATACAGCGGGTTTAATTACATCACAGGAACCCTGATTTGGGGGAATCCTAATCTTTTATACCAAACAGTAAGCCTGACTAGCCTTTGCTTTGGAGGGTGTGTTTATTTCCTAGGTAACAAAAACACCACAAACTGCTGAAAACCACAGAAACTTATTCTCTCACGGTTCAGGAGGCCAGAAGTCTGAGGTCAAGTTATTGGCAGGTTTGGTTATTTCTGGAGGCTCTGTTTCATACTTTTCTCCCAGCTTCTAGTGGCTCCAGAAACCCTTGGTGTGAACGAGGCTCTCCACATACAACTCAAGTACAACTCCTTGAATGCAGTATCTGTTTACCTGTGACCCATGAGACTAGAGAGACAAGTCAATGTTGGGACCAGCATAGGAAAACTGCCATAGACATTTCAGTTCAAAACCGGGGGGAAGTGGGAGTCACAAAGGAGTTCTCAGTCTAGAGCAGTTCTGGGGTCCCCCCAGACAAAGACTGAAAGTTCCTTGATTGGATTCCAAGGTCTGGAATGACTCCAGACCTTCTCCATGACTTTTGGCTCCATTTTCTGAGCCCTTGGCTTCACTCTCTGATTCATCTTTCCTTTCTTCATCACAGGAAGCATGTTTTGCAGGTGAGTTTTCTTAGCTTGCTTCCTCTAAGTAGAAAATCAAGGGTTCAATGACCTCTTTTTATTTTGCACCATCTCCGTCCCTATGAGTATCTTTGCTGATATAATTCTCTCAAATCTTTCTGGACATTCTGTGATGCTCATTGGAGTTCACTCTGTTACACAGAGCCACCATCACACTTTTCTGCTTTTCTTTTCCCATTGTTTTCATCTATCCTTTTGAAATTTGTACCTCTTGCTTCACACTATTCCCTATTATCCTTCTGTTTTTTCTCTATAGCACTTATTATCATCCAATATAAATTTTACTTTTTAAAAAATGTATTGTCTGTTCACTCACTTTCTACCCCAACTATAATTTAAGCTACAGTTGGTCAGTGCATTTTGCTTGTTTTGTTCACAGTGGTTAGAACAGTGTCTGACACATACAAAATAAATACTGAATAAATGACATAATTTTGAAAAGGATTTGAAGAGTTTCAAAATAGACATTCATCTTCTGTGAAACCTTGTGACATATAGAAATATGTGAAAGAGCATTCGTTCAGGAAGCAGGATCAATAGAGATGACTTTGGATGCCCTAATAGGATTAAAAAATTGAAATCTCCTCCAATGCACACACATATGCACAGAGACCAAAAAAAAAAAAACAAAAAAACCACTTTCAACAGTAAGGAACACCACTCCTATCATAAATGCAGTCGCACAAAGACTGAAACATAGACTTTTCAATACATTATTGTGAATAACCAACAACTCCCTAAAGAGGAAAGAGATATGTCATCAAAGTTGAAGTTACATTATAGAAATTAGAGTAATATATAACTTATTGTGTAAGTATAAATATTTATAATTATAACATCATTTTGTTCATACTGGACTATGCTAATTATTTTTTCTCTAGTATATCTTCAATAGGACCATTAAATATATTTAATGATCTTTGTTTTGTGCTTATTAAGATTCTAAATGAAAGTCTGTAAAACACCATCTCTTGTTCTCCAAGTTTTCAATTCCTGATTGATTTTTTTGGTTAAAAGACTTGAGTTTAAAAGTCTATTTTTAAGCTCTTGATCTTGGAATCAGTAATAGATATTTAGCTTTCATGGCAGCTATAGAGAATTGAGTTTTTAAGTTTGAAGCTACATTTGTTTCTGCTCCTAGAAGAAAAATCATATCTGAGAGGGAAGATGTCAATCACACTGTATTTTTTCTCAGAGTCTGAGGCCATCCTCATAATCCAGCTAGGTGAGGGTAAGAGAAGGGTATGGCCCTGAGCTGTCCTTGCTGGTGAAGCTCTTCATGGTCTTGCTGCATTTCAAGGCTGCCCCACAGGACTGAGTTCCCTCTTAGCCTCTGATGTCTGCATGAATCAACATCTTAGAAAGTGTTTGCCTTATTTCTGAAAACAGTAATGGCCACATTGATTCGGTTGATGGATGATGTAAACTTGTTTGGGCATCAACCCATAGCTGAAGTACAAGCTTCTCATGGGAAAGAACCTCACTTCGTAGAGCTTCCTGAAGGGAACTTACAGGCACGTTCACATTGCTAGAGAAGATTGATGTTGGGAGTTCCCTGGTGGCCTAGTGGATAGGATTTGGGCTTTTACTGCCATGGCCCAGGTTTGATCCTTGGTCAGAGAACTGAGATTCTGCAAGCAATGCAGCATGGTCAAAAATGACCAAAAAAAAAAAAAAAAAAAAGATGTCAAGTCTCCTGCTAATCCACCAGCTCTTTAGGAAGCATCTTCCACCATCAGACGAGGCTACTGGTATGGGCTGAATTTTGTCCTCCACCAACTTCATATGTTAAAGTCCTAACCTCCGCCCCCTGCACCTGGGAATGTGACCGTATTTANCCCCCCCCCCCGTACCTAAAAATGTGACTGTATCTGGAGACAGGATCTTTACAGAGGTAATTATGTTAAAATAAGGTCATTAATATGGACTTTAATCAATATGACTGGTGTCCTCATAAGAGGAGGAAATTTGGTCACAGAAGTTTACAGAGGACAGATGAGGCAGTTATAGGGAGAAGACAGTCATTTATAAGTCAAGGAGAAAAGCCTAAAAAAAGCCAATCCTGCTGATACCTTGATCTGGAACATCTGGTTATAGATTGTGAGAAAATCCATTTCTGTTGTGTAAGCCACCCAATTTGTCGTATTTGGTTATGTCAGCCCTATCAAGCTGAGTTTTGTCATCTCCTCTCATCTTCTGGAGACCCACTGGCTCACCTGGACCTCTTTAGGGAGAAAGCTGAAAGTGCCATCTGAAGGTCTTTTATTTCTGTTGTTGCAGCCAAAAGTGTCAGAGAAGGAGACCAGGACTGTGGGTTCTCTGGACTGGCAGAACAGGGCAGGAACATCCCTCCCACCTTAGCCTCACCACCCTATTTCTGCCCAAACAGTAAACATGTTAATTCTCTTTTCTGCTTCCTCTTTTGTTTCTGCCTTCATTTTTTTTTTCCCTTTTATAAACAGTTAAGATCCTATTGGTCAGTATCCAGTCCTAAGTAGTTACCCAAGCCAGTTATATTACACCACCCAGAAAATTAAAAATACATCACCCAGAATGATTACAAATAAAAGACTAGCAATAATAAAAATTTCCCTTATAAACAGAGACCTATGTGGAACATCCTTCATCTGTAAATCATATGGATCTCATCCTGAAATACCTTCCTTATAGAATATACTCATTTCTCCCACATCTAAACTGTAAGTATATCCCCACACTTCTCTTCTGTTCCTTTTTATTTTTATAGCTCCTAGTCATATCAGGAAGCATGGTCTCTCTGCTTTACATCTGGCTGTATTCCCAGAGCTTCCATTTCCATGTGGCACATATTTATGCTCACTTGGGGTACCCCAGTGCCCAGCATATTGTTGGCCAGAGATACCTGAAAGGTAACTCCTTTGCTCATCTTGTGCTCATTTTACTAGGGGAAAAGGAAGGGGAGGTGTTTGCTGGTTAGAATTTATTTATGTATCTCTAGGTTTATAGAAGATTTTAGTTAATAATTGACTGAGTCCCTTTTTTCTGTGATACCTTTTGGTTTCACCCAGGAGCTGGTGTGGTGAAGGATCAAGAGATGGCAATGCACTGGTTTAGGTAAGAAAAACAACCCCTACCAAAAGCAAAACTCTAGAGCTGTCATTTCAGGAAGTGCTGAGATATAAAACCTTATGATTTTGGTGCTTCTTCCCTAGAACAAAAATAAGGTACACTTTTTTAAAGTGTTGGTAACTTCTTTTTCCACTCAGCGGTAAGGTAGGAGTAGTGACAGAAGTGATGTGTCTGATGCATTTAAAAACAGTCTACACAATGTAAGCAAACAACAGATTAGCTTTAAAAGAGCTAAACTGGAGAATGTATACCATTCTAGATCAAGATCCAGAACATCAATAATTTTATTAACAGCACCGTATTAGCATTACCTTGTTTGCTAAAGTTTTGAACTCTTGACAATTAGACACATTCATTTGAATTTAAAAGTAGAAATATATTTATCTATTTTTTATTCTATTTTGGGCCTAAATTCCACTCAATATACAAATTTTTCCATGGGTAGCTTTTATAATTCTGATTGTATAGCACTGGTGTGATGAGTCCTCACAGAAAAATATATATTATATTTGCAGTTTGAGAAAGTAATACTAACTTTGGAAACAAAGACTAAAGAATACTTTACCTGACACTCTAAAGGTTAGACAACGGGAATAAATAGGCTCTGAGATGTTAGAAACTCCATTCTACATGAGACTGTGGTAGAGAACAAGGACAAGTTAGGACTAAGGTCAAAGTCACTTGATATAGAGAACTGGCTTAGGGTTCATGAAGTCTCAATGTATTCAAAAGTAGAAACCCCTGAAAGTGGAATTTTGCCATAGTATTCTTTAAAGTGATATTGTCCAACATGACAGTGACTAGCCACATAGGCCACTGAGCCCTTGAAGTGTGGTTAGTGTGAGCAGAGATGTGCTGTACATGTAAGGTACACACAGGGTTTCCAAGATTTCATATGAAGAAAGGAATATAAAATATCTCACTAACAATTCTTTGTATTGATTATACATTGAATAATAATATGTTGGGTATATAGGATTAAATAAAATATATTATTTAATTTTATTTATTCCTTTTAAAACTTTCGATGTGGCTATCAGGACATTTAAAATTACCATGGCATGCATTTTATTTCTATAGGGTAATGCTGATGATCAGAGTCTCCTATGATGCAGAGACATGTTCGGTTATCTGAGTGAGCAGGGAGTACAGTCATGGCTTTGCCATTGCCCTCGTATTGATGAGATCATCCTTCTCAGATGCTTTTTGCCTTCTTGCTAGAATAGTGGGTGACAAGCCTGGCTACATATTAGCGTCCCCTGGGGAGCTTTTGAAACATACTAATGCCCAACTCCAGATTGACTGAGTTGTGCTGAAAAGCATCCTGGGTAGCTGTAATGTGTAGGGAGGTCAAACCACTGCTCTAGAAGTCCACACTGATTTATAAAGTAAAAACAAACCAGCAGAGGAAGCCATTTCAGTAACACATTTCAACACGAAGTTTAAAGTGAATATTCTGATCAACTTCACCTGCCAACAGAAGTACCTTTGAGAATCAGGAAGGGAATGACATGGGTCTGGAATGGCTCAGCATGGTTGGTGTTTAACTCTGCTTGGCTGGAACCCTTGCTACTGAGACCTAGGCCACACACGAGCGTCACTGGTATCACCAGGCGGGTACTTGTTAGAAATGCAGCCTTTGAGGCCTTAAGCCAGCCCTACTGAAACATTGTAACAAGGTTCATTTGTTGTAATGAATGAAGATTCATAATCTTCATTTTAACAAGATTCTGGGGTGGCTTGTTTGTGGATTACAGTTTTAGAAGTGTTGCCCTAAATAATATTTTGTAAACCAGATCTTCCTTACATGGGACATACAGTTAAAAGCCAATTTCAAAAACCTTTCCATTTTTCAGTGATGGAGTCCACTATCAGGAATGGGATGGGAAAAGCATTACAAAGGCAAGATTTCTCCCAGCATATTTTAAAAATATCTTTTATGGTTCATGAGTCATTAAATTTATTTATTAAATAAGTACCTTGTTAAATTTTTCTTTTGATCAATTGTGAAGCTTTCTTATCTAAATGTCTGGTGGCTCAGATGGTAAAGAATCCACTCACAATGCAGAAGACCTAGGTTCAATCTCTGGCTTGGAAAAATCCCCTGGAGAAGGGAATGTCAACCCACTCCAGTATTCTTGCCTGGAGAATTCCATGGAGGGAGAAGCCTGGTGAGCTACAGTCCATGGGGTCACAAAGAGTTGGACATGACTGAGTGACTAAGCACACACAGCATGTTGTAATTTTAGTACTTTTTTTTTCCTGTGAAAAGTCGATTCATGCAGTCTTCTCACTTTCCCACTGGATGTTGTTATTTTCCTGCTTACTTTTCAAAATGTTTATGCATTAGAGATAGAAAACTTTTGTACATTTCCTTGTATTTTGGACTTTTCCCCATAGTCATAAATAAATGAAAAGAACTGCAAAGTAGCAAGGCAATAATTATATAAATTGTACTGTCCAATATGATGGCCATTAACCACATGTGGTCATTTAAATTTAAATAAAGTAAAAAAATTTGGTTTCTCAGTTGCACTATCTACACTTCAAGTATTCAATACTCACACACAGCTAATGGTTACTATAGTGGAAAGCACAGACGCCAAACATTTTCATCTTTGTAGAAATTTCTGATGGAAAGTGTTGGCATATTACATATTTCAGCAACTGGAAATAGTGCTTGAGAATCAGGTTACATGCTACTGAATTCCTAATATTCCCAGATGGTTCTTTCCTATATTTTGATTTCCTATATATTTTGGAGAGAAGATTGTAATGATTTTAATGTTTGGAGAAGCTGATGAATGAGTTTGGAACAAATAAATGATTAAAATATTCTTACAACATCAGTTTTTTTTTTTTCAGTGCTTTGTTTCAAATAAGAGTTTTTTTTTTTTTTTTTAATGAAAGAGGATTATTAACATTTGTCCCAATGTAAAAGACAGAAGTAATGATTTTTCAGAGTGTCCTTCAGTCATGCCCGACTCTGCGGCCCTATGGACTATAGCCCTCCAGGCTCCTTTGTCTATGGGATTCTCCAGGCAATACTATTGGAGTGGGTTGCCATGTCTTCCCCCAGGCAATCTTCCTGACCCAGGGATCAAACCTGTCTCTCTTCTGTCACCTGCACTGGGAGGCAGGTTCTTTACCACTAGTGCCACCTGGGAAGCCCCATGATTTCCAGTAATGCTTACATATTTGTATTAGCAGTGCCTTTGGTTGTATTAAGGGAATCCATTTTCACAGCATTGTTTCCTTGTTTTTTATTGCATATTCCTCTCCAACCCGATTTCCACTTCGGTTTTCTTTTCCTCTCTTTTTCAGACAAGCCTCCCAGCAGGACCATCCTCATGGTTCCTTTAACCTTGCAGTCGGAAAACTGAAAAACATGACTGGATCCATGGCAGTAGGGTAATGAAAATTAGCAGTCTTTTCCCTTTCAGCTGAGATGTCATTCCTTCTAAACGTGCCCCCATACATTACATGCAATTGACAGATGAAAGCATTTTATATATAGTACACTTCCCACTCTTGCCTTTTTATCTACTTACAGTGCTATGAGTTATGATAAAAGTCACAAAGTAAAAGAATCTAAGATTCATATACATTCATAGAGCCCATGGAATAAATTTGTAAGGTACCTGATGAGTCCAAAATGAAAGGCCAGGTTATTTCATGATCCTAAGAGTCTCCTGTGAATTTTTAAGGTTCCTAGGAGTCCCATCTTAAGCTGTATAGCATTTTCTCATAAACAGAAAAGAACATAGAAGAGTATAAGGTAGAAAGCTCTTTTGGGACACAAATTCTGTTTGTGTTTATGGGATGGATCCCCTTTTGATTACTCACAGTCCCAAGAGAAATGCTACTATTTTCTCTAGAGAAGTTTTTCTTAAAGTTTTCGAGTAGTTCATAATCTGTGATATTTTCATGCAGAGATTCTGAGTCAGGAACATCTTCATAGGCCTCCCCCAAATAAACTGTTCAATTTTCAGCTTGTTTTAAGAAATGCAACTGACATGTATTCCATTACCATGTTCTGTGTGTAATCCCCACCCCACAACTGTAGACCTTAATCCAGCTCAGGCTGATGAGTAAACGAGGTTCAGAAAGAGGGAGTCTCAGTGAGAGCCTGAAGGATGGGGTGAGTCTAGGGACTTGGTGTAACACTCAGGGCTAGCGGTTTCACGTATTACGTGGTGATGAAATCTTGAAATGACCAATGGGAGGCAGCCAAATCATACGGGGCAGTCTGCGTTGTCTTTCACAACTGCTGGTGGGCAGTTTTACAACTGACTGATGAGCAGGTTGAATGGAGCCCCTCTCCAGTTTCCACTCTAAACCAAAATATAGAATTTTCTTGCAAGAAAGGGGTGTCTCAGACATTACCTAAGAGTCTTGGCTGGAAAAATTTTTCTAAATAGAGCAAAAGTATCCAGCTGGACTCTGATGTTGTAAGACTGTTTCTTTGGGTAGTTTTTGATTTTATTATGAAGACACTCAAGATGAAACCCAGATGAAATGGCAAGTGTTTCACTCAGTACCTTAGAACGAGTCTAAACAGGTGTTAACCTGGCCCTTAGCCTAAACACTTGGACATGCAGGTTCTTTGAATTCACTGTTTCTTTGTGATTCTACTAAGCAACTCTCTCTCCTAGGGACATAGAGATGCTCCTTCATGTTGCTGCAAGACAGGGGATCCAAGAGGCCCAGGAAATTCTGGAGAATATTATTTGGACTAAAAGCAAGCCCTTGCAAACTAAAAGTGTGGGGAGTGTTTTATAAACATTAACACATGTCACGCATGCTTTTTCTGAAGCAGGGTCTGTGTGTCTCACTCATCAACTGTGGCCTTGTAGTGCTTTGTGGAACTGTCAGTGGAAGTGGCTTTTACTTGCAGTTTTATATGCTGCTGCATCTTCAATTTGCTGTTCCAAGTCCTTTAAAGCAGCAGTACCCAACCTTTTGGGCACCAGAAATTGGTTTCATGGAAGACAATATTTTCCATAGACCAGGGGATGGGCGGGGGATGGTTTCAAGCGCATTACATTGATTGTGTGCTTTATTTCTTTCATTATTTCATCAGCTCCACCTAGATCACCAGACATTAGATCTCAAGGCTGGGTATTCCTGCTTTAAAGCAAGGTGTTGCCTATATGTTTTCCTGGGGTCGGAGTTTGACCTCATCTGGATGGAGAGGTATTTTCTTTTGCTTGCATGACTGCTCACTCAGTTAAGTTTCAAGTCAGTGAGCATTGTACACAGTGGTGGGAGGGACGGAAGAAACCTGTCACACTAGAGACTTGGCTTCTTGGATGTGTGAGTTGGCACCCACACATCCACGGCGAAGGAGCTAAACTCTTCATTAGCCTAATCTATGACATGTGGTGTTCTGCTTAAAATAAACTTGTTTTCATCTCTACATTTCAATTTTCTGCTCGATTAGGCTTCTATGATATTTTATTGTATTCGCTTTTTGTATTACAAAAAAGCCTTTATGGGGAAAAATAAGGCTGTGAATATTGTCATTAGGAGGGAAAAGGCTAAAGTAGAAGAATCACAGTTATTGAGCCCCTGACATGTGTATGGTTTTTCTTAACTGCTTTCAAGTATGTTAGTATTAACTTGGATAAAAGCCTTATGAGGTAGTAGTATTATCATTCCCATTTTATAGATGTAGAAACAGGTGTAGAGAATTAATATGTGCAGAGTCATAGCATTACTGGTAAAATAGGTTTGAATTTCTTAACTAGTTTGACTAACATTTCTCCCTTAAATTATTAACATCTCATTCTTAAGAAATTCAAAGATGCTCTAAGAGCAGGTACATGACTATATTACTAGCACACAGTGAGAACTTACCTTAGCCAAAGACTCAGTCACGTATTCTAACTGTATTATTTGAGCACAAGCTACATATTCATATTCTTTTAAAGTAGTATTTTTAATCTTCAATAGCTAGCTGCATTTATTGCATTTAGATTATAGCATGATTCTCTCCTGGGAATTTAAATTCAGAAACATGATGTAAGAATGACAAAAGTGTTAAAATAGAATTCAATAACATAATTAAGCTGTGTATAAGATACTTGTTTTGCCTTTAAGTTCAAGTGGCAAGTTTACATTATGTGCACGTTCAAGATGACTGAATCTCAGGCAGTCTCTTTGTCCAGACTTGAACATATAAACATTTAAAGGATGAAGCTAAAAATGGTCAAAGATTTTCTTTCTTCCTGCTTTTCATTATCTTACAAGCACTTGAAAACTCGTCAATGTAGAAAATCCAAAATTTATAAACTAAGTTCTTCACTTGAACCTCTGTTAAGTATTTCTGTCATTCTTAGAAACACTTAACTTTTCTTTACATTTTTCCAGAGGATGCAGTTTTCACTTCAATCTATGTTGTTTCAGGTATATTAATAACTCTGAAAATTTTATCCTGAGCCATGAATTTCATTTGCATAATACTAGGACAATAATTTCAACCATCTTATAAATGTGCATTTTTATTTTACCTTCACAATGACACCCACTTTCTGCATGCTCAGTTGATAAATCGAATCCAACTCTTTGTTACTCCATGGACTGAGGCCCTCCAGGCTCCTCTGTCCATGGGATTTTTCAGGCAAAAATACTGGGATGGGTTGCCATTTGTTTTTCCATGGGATCGTCCTAACCCAGGGATCCAAGTCTCATCTCCTGTGTCTCCTGCATTGGTAGGCAGATTCTTTACCACTGAGCTACCTGGGAAGCCCTGATACCCACTTTAGTGTATTTCATTTTATAGTCGTATTTCAAAGACATCTAAGTATTTCTTATAGTGACAACCAAAACTGGCCATTGTGAGGATATACTGTAGAAATAACCACTAACTGGTGTTAAATTTATTTTTTAAGAAATTCTTTCAGGTGACTTCTATAAGCATCTTCAGCTAATACTGATTTTGTTTGCATTAGGGTGAAGATAATGTCTTTTAATAGTTCATTGTTGGTGAAATAAAGTAATAAACTAATTGCAAAGGCATAACTACAATTAGAAAGACTATGTATGTAGTCACTTTAAAACCCCTTCACTTTTGACCTTTTCACTAGAGTATTAAATAGAGCATGACCTGCCAGTCCTCTAGGGTTGAAGCTAAATCCCTCATGCAAAACCAGAGAGTGAGAAGGATTAGGAATCCCCTGAAGCCAAAGCAATACTTCTATCTTTCCTTCCTGGAGTTGGAGAGTCAAGGGAGAAATGTAAGAAATAGAGAGAGGGGAAGAGGAACAGAGAGAGAACTTGTTTATGTCCATTGAATCTGGATTTAGAAATGGAAACAATGTATTTTAAAGTTTATTAAAAAGTAGTATTTGGCATATCTTAAAAAACTGAATTAAACTGTTGGTGAATTGCTCACCCAGGTAACCCAAAGGCAGTACTACTATCTGAATAAACTTTTTCACCTAGGATCCAACTTACTGCAAAAACTATTGATGCATTTTAAATTCTTAATATAACTTTGAAATTTATGCATGTTCTTTTTGTGCCAAAGTAAACATGCTAAGTCCTCCTCTTGTTCTTTTTCCACTCTATATTCATGCTGTTCTGTCAAGGAGGCAGGAGACCAAATGTGTGTGCACCAGCTTTGGAAACAATTGCATGAGTTTTGCAGTCTTGAATATGTGGATTTACCTTTCAAAGTTGCCTCAGCTGTGCAATATCAACTACCCCATAGAGTCACTGTGACGATTAAATGAGCTAGTGTTTATAAAGCACAATGCTTTGCATAAAGTAAGCAACTGAATTGAAGATGGGTATAAATGTTGTCTGGTATGAGAAAATGAGAGAGTAGTCATTTTCTGTCAGAGTGAAGCAAATGAAACTAAGCCTCAGGTCCTCACTAGCAGGAACCTCTCACAAATGTACTCAGAATAAGATATTTTAACTCCAGTTGACTCAGATCACTTTCGCTTCTCATTTTGACTTCTTCTCTATCACATTTGCCCTGGCATAACCCAGCATTGGAGGACTGCAGGCATTTCTGGATTTCGGCTGTGGGAACTTGAGTTGAGAATATGTTTAGTTTGGGTTGGTGCTTCCCTCTTGGCTCAGATGGTAAAGAATCTGTCTGCAATGCAGGTGACTCTGGTTCGATCCTGGGTCGGGAAGGTGCCCTTGAGAAGCAGTGGCTACCCACTCCAGCATTCTTGCCTGGAGAATTCCATGGACAGAGAAGCCTGGTGGACTACAATAGACGGGGTCACAAAGAGTCGGATGCAACTGGGTGACTAACAATTCCCTCCTTACTTAGTTTGGGTTTGGGGGCTATATCTCATACTCCCACGTATAGCTGACTTACTGCTAGCTGTCTTGGTGTTACAATGACTTCCGGAAAACTTCCAACTGTTCACTGTGACTTGTGCAGGTGCAAAACGAGAGGTGTGGTCAAGCTGTTGAATATTTGTACAGGATCCAGTTTCAGAAATACGTGGGTGAGGACATAGCTTGATATGCAGTCATATAAACTAGATGCAACTAGTAGAAAATGCCTTTAAACCTTAGGGCTCATGTTATATAAATTTGGTAAAAGCCTTTCCAATATTGATCATAATCCCCAAAATTCATATGAAGTTACCAATAATGAGCTGTGAAACTGAAAGTTTTCCTAAATTATCAATAAAATAAAATGTGCAAACCCTGCTTACAGAGATACCAAAGTCCTTCTATTCTCTCCATAGAAATGATAAAATAATTTTCCTATGAAAAAGTATTCAAAAAGCATGAAGTCTAAAACACAGGAAAAAAGGCTCATAGGAGTATGTCAGGAAGTTAACACCATGGTAATTTCTTTCTGGATGCTCACAGTATGTGTCAGTTTTTAGTTTATTTGTTGTGATTTTTTTTTAATTTTTATTCTGTGATACATCTGTATTCAATTCTGGATTCACAAGTTTGCCATTCTTTTTCTAAAGGGAGCCCTCAGACTGTACAGGCTTCTGAGGCACACTACTTGAATCTGACCTCCTTTGTGACGGTCTGCCAAATGGCCCAAAAGGACCTTGATAAACACACCTCTGTTTGTTACTTTCCTTGTCTGTGAGTTCTAAACTGAGGAATCTAAATCTAAGTCAGCACTCTGTCATGGCTTCTGTATCCATGGATTCTCCCTTGACAAGGAAACCTGATTGGCAGGGAAGCTTGGCATGCTGCAGTCCATGGGGTTGCAAGAGTCGGACACGACTGAGCAACTGAACTGAACTGATATAAGGGACGAGCATCTGTGGACTGCAGTGTCTGTGGGGATGGGAGTCCTGGAACCAACCCCAGTGGATACTGGAGGGATGACTGTATTTATAGTGATGGAATTTTTTGAAAATGCTTTTTATTTTATATGAGAGTCCCTTGGACTGCAAGGAGATCCAACCAGTCCATCCTAAAGGAAATCAGTCCTGGGTGTTCATTGGAAGGACTGATGCTGAAGCTGAAACTCCAATATTTTGGCCACCTGATGTGAAGAGCTGACTCATTTGAAAAGACTCTGATGTTGGGAGGGATTGGGGGCAGGAGGAGAAGGGGACGACAGAGGATGAGATGGTTAGATGGTATCACCGACTCAATGGACATGAGTTCGGGTAAACTCCAGGAGTTGGTGATGGACAGGGAGGCCTGGTGTGCTGTGGTTCATGCGGTTGCAAAGAGTCAGACACGACTGAGCGACTGAACTGAACTGAGAGTATAACCAACTAACAAAGTTGGGATAGTTTCAGGTGAACAGCGAAGGGACTCCGCCACACATATACCTGTATCCATTCTCCTCCAAACTCCCCTTTCCCCAGGCTGCCACAGAACATTAAGCAGAGTCCCCTGTGCTATACAGTAGACCCTTGTTGGTTATCCATTATAATTATAGCAGTGTGTAATGTCCATCCAAACCTCCCTGACTACCCTTCCCCTGGGACGAGATTTTTTTTAACATTTCATTCCACTCTTTCCATTGGTTCAGTTCTTTGAAGCTACAGATTCCTGGCCATACATAATGAGATAACAAACTCTACCATGCCCCAGAATTAAACTGGAGAGAATTACTTTCTGGGAGAAAAAACTGAGGCTGAAGGAGGTCCATCTGACTTATCAAGAACACAGAGATTGGCATTAAACCCAACTAACGGTTGGATTAAGTAATCTGTGTAAATTCCTTGCTACCTTGCTGAACAACTCACTTCAAAAGCCAGAGGAAGAAAGATTTACCTTGAATGTACTTTGATATAGATGTTTCCTTGGCAACCGATTCTAAGTCAAAAGCAAAACAGTGATTGAAAATATGCACTTTTGTTAAAAAATTGTGGGCTCTGAAGCAGCAGCCTCAGAAGCTCTTTCCCATCCTTTGTTAATTGAAAAGAGAAGTTCTTTATTTCAGATGCTGTTATGCAGCCTTTATTTTA